AGGGTATGTAAATGAACATGACTGCATATTCATGAATATTCAATTCTGTTGGTCATGAATAACGAATTCAATTCATGAATTGATACGGTTTGATTCACAGATTACGCGTCGTGAATCGTAACAGTCATAGTAAAATTTAAGTATCATGATACATATGGGTACGTGAGTTAGGCAAATCTATGATGTAGATTCTGGTCAGCCTTACTGCTTTGTCCCTTTGTTGTTTTGACCTGCTGGCATGGGTACAATGTGTGAAGCCCATTTCTGGTGTCCCCCGCCATGATATTGCTGGAATATTGCTAAAAGCGGCGTAAGGCCATATTCACTCACTCACTTGACCTACTGGCATCAGTCCATGCTGGTGGTGAACATATTCAACCAATGTCTGTTAAGGCATTTCCCTCTCACATTACACCAGTGTGGTGATGTTTAAAATACTGTTTCAGAGCAACGGTAAAGCTTATGAACTCACTTCCTTGCCAACTGTTTGTGGTGTCACTGCAGGGTTGCAGACTTGAATTTAATTTCCCCAGACCACAGGACTGACTACTTGAAAATTTTATCAGTCTTTGTCAAAAGTTGCCAGTACCAGATTCTATAGTAAAAAAATGATGATGCATCTCTTACTCTGTTGTCTATTACTGTGGACTTGGATTTTGGTTGTTTAGTTTTTGTATAAAATAGATGTCATAAGACAAAATGAAAATAAACAACTGGCCACAGGACAGGTGAAATGTATATATCGCCCGTCCTTGGTGGAATAAACTTGTCATGGATGGTGGGACAGGCTATTATTTGCAACTCTTCAGTGTAAGTTTGGTAGTCTCATGGAACACATGCGCTCTGTCGAGTATAGGACCGCCTCCGTGGTCTAGTGGCAGAGCGTCTGCCCGAAAAGCTGTTTGATTCCCGGCCATGTCAGCCAAAAGACATTAAAAGATGGTTCTTGTTGTTACCCTGCCTGGCGCTCGGCATTAAGGGGCTAAAAACAGACTGGTTGGTTCAGAGTCAGTTTACTGTGTCTGAGTGGGATATTCATGTTAAAGCTGCGGCATAGCATCTCAGTGGCCTACACAACCACACACACACACACACACACGTGCTTACACGTCGCTATATAAGTGCAGTAGTCTTTTACCTCACCTGTAGAATATTGCTCTGTGACTGGAGTCTTTTTTTTTTTTTTATCTGTTTTAAATAAAAATGAATGAAGAATTACAACTGGTAGTTTACAAGATACATATTTTAAGGGACAAAGTACCATTTAAGTGTGGAATAACAGGTATAATAGATCATGTTGTCAGTTATATTTTATTATAAGCATGAGTGAGTGAGTGAGTTGGGTTTAACGCCGCTTTTAACAGTATTACAGTTTTATCACGGCGTATAAGCATGAGAGGATGATGTTGTTATGTTCATCTGATCTGCAGGGAAAGCCAAAGCGATGTAAATAAAGAAAAAGAATTGTTTCAAATTTCATCATTAACTTATGATAAAAACATGAGTCATTTTCTAAATTAGAAAATCTATTTCCTATTGTGAAAAGGTGTTGAAACTGATAGAATATGTATTCCACATCGGTATTTGATACTTTAACATATTTTGGAATAAATTTTCTTTGAATATTACATAGTGTTGTCTCCACAACAAGTAGAGCGCTTGTTGGCCAAGTGGATAGAGCTTCTGGCCAGAGGGTAGGACATCTTCCTGGGCAAGAGTGTCCACTAGCCTATATCAAAACCAGGTTTCTTTCCTTGCCATTTCAGACCTAAGTTTCTTTGCTCGATTGTGACACCACCGAGTGCGAAAACTTTGAATCTCTTTGAAAATATTTGTCTTAGCTTAATTTTTGGAATAATTTATCGCAAATTCTACTGGCGATGTCTGTGTCCATAGCAGGGACCACGTTTTCGGAACATGAATGTCAATTTTGCAAAACTGATTGGACTTCATATGTGTAATAGTCCTCTTATATTGTAACACTGAAAAGTAGGCTAGAAATGGACTTTGATATAGGCTAGTGGACACGTTTGCCTTGGGCAGACAGGAGCAGGACTGGTCAGCTCAAAGTCAGTCTACTTAGTCTGATTGTGGAATCATCTGAAACTGCGACATGGTATCTCAGTAGACCTTAGTGCAGTAATCTCACAATGTTATAATGTGGCAGAGGAATGTAAACTTAATTTAATACCTTTGTGACTAGGGCTTGACCAACAAACGAAGTTGTGAGGAATTATTATAATTATTTATTAATAACATATTTCGGTCCATAGTTCTAGCTGAATTGAGTCCAAAGACTGATTTTATTAAGTCCTTGACCAAATATGACCCTTTCAGAGTGTGTTTGTTTTGTCTGTTGGCCAGACTTTCTATGTTTCTGGTTGAACAACCTATTGGTGAGGGGACAATACATTTCAATTTCTGTTTTGTTTCTGAAGACGTTATTGGACATGTTGGCACGTGTACAGTGATAAGATGGCAGTCTAATTGGTCTTAAGTTTAACATTGGAATTCATTTTGGTGAATATGTGATTGCTTTTGATAAGAAGGAGTGGGTTTTTTCTATGCCAGATTATGAGGTCAGCTGTCACTTCATTTAATGTTGAACAAAGTAAACCATTTTGAAGGTAACAATGACACACAAACTGTACTATCAAATATACTATTCAAATTTATAACCGTTTAAGACTTTCAGAAGGTTCAGCTATTTTATACGTACTCAATACTGATCAATGAAAACAACATGAAATACAATGACATGCTACACGGTCATGAATCCCTGTCCTTGTGAAAGTCTGGAAATTGCATCTTTGGATTGTTTTTTTAATGAAAAATGATTGAAGGACCAATGAAGGAGATGAAATGTGTGTGCAGAAACAGGCCTGTAGAGAACTAGGAAACACTTTCATTTCTCCTCAGAATGTTAATCATTGTCATTATGCAATGCAGTTGTATGACCTGAATTTGTAGTGAGCACATAGTCTTCTCATTTGCATTGAAACAAATTTATAATTAAAATCGGAAGGGCTTTTATTATGTTTATAAATAGGTCATCAACTGCGAAATTACATAAAATATCCCCATTGTAAGCACTGGACTGTATGCAGAGTGTCACCCTTTCACGTACAGCTGTTCTGGTAGACCCACTTTCTGTTTAGATTTCCCGGGAATACCAAGCGATCTCGGCTGTAATAATCTTGCCTGTGGTGGCCTGCTGCTTATTTCTGAGAAATCCCCCAGTAGGGACTGTAAATCTAGCTGTGGATATACCGGGCTCTCAGGTCACACATGCAAGCTGTCTGCACAAAAATGGGTTAAAATTATTTCTATCATTGTCATTCAAAATGATATTTCGCTATGTTCACATGTTTATGGATTTTTTTTTATGGAATTAATAGAAAATAAATGCAATTTAGAATGTTGTGCAGGAATAATTATTTCCATGAAAAGTTAGTTCATGGTGAAATGGAAATCTGAATATCGGACTGATAAAGGGAAGATTACCGTATTTTCTTGAGTGTTGTGCACACTTTCCCCCCACAAACACAGCTGTGTAGAAGGGGGTCCGCATTATACATGCCATAATGAGTTTTGATGTTTTTTATCCCAACACAAAGACATTACCGTGAGCAATGTAATGTCGTAAAAAGTGTTCATTGCATATCTGGACTTTTATAACTTATTTCATTAATTTTATTTAAAATTCATTTTAATATTGTTTTAATAAATTTCGACGAAATCGTGTAGTTCAACTTTTAGTCATTGTGTTATGCAGAGGCAGTCATTGTACTGATAGCTGTATTGATGGTGCAAGCAATGTGAAGGAGCTGTGATAAGGTGTAGATCTTTGATAGTGGTTGTTCACAGTGTTAATTTTCGCTTTTCCAAGAAAAGTCAATAGATTTATGCAGTCCTTAAAGTGTTCTTCCATTATATCATTATATCCCGGAATAGGCATCTGAATCTTGTAGTTAGTTTGCCCATAAGCCAATTTGCTAGCTGTGGGCATTTACAAGTACAGCGTTTGGTGTAGATAGTATCCCATAATGCCATTTCTACTTGATCATGCTAATGAAACCTGAAATATAGTTTAATCTTTTCAAAACATCACCTGCAATTGCACATTTGTGTTAAGTGATTCTACTGGGATGTAGTCATATTTTTGTCAATTTTTGAATGGGATTTTTTCTGTATTGTGACAAATTTTTTATAAAAATCTTTTGGTTGTTTTTTTATAAGAGTACTAGAACTTGAAACCACTGTAAACCTTGGAGTTGTTTGCGTGTGTATTATACACTGGACGCAGCGACCATATGTCTATCATTGTCAGTGAGTTGAGGCATTGTGAAGGTGTTAGCACTACTGTAACTGAGTGGAATGAGGTCCTGATGTTGTGAAGGGCATCCCCTGTTCTAAACAGGATTCATTGAAACAAGATAGCAGTGTTTATGTAGGAGCGTACACCAGACCAAGGTCCTGGAAGGCACATTCTGTAAAACTAGAGCAATATACAACAATCAGGTATAAATTTAAGAAATATGTCAGAAGAGGTCAGAAAACATTAATTTCAATTTCGTTCCATGCTTTGTTGTACTTAACGATTCTTCATATACATTACATCTTACCCTGTTCTATAAACTGTATAAACCTCTGTCATTTAATTTTACTTTCTTTGGCTGATCATGTGATATTCTGATGGGATGGGCTGTGATTTGTTTCTGAAAGTACTGAAAAAGAATAATCCTCATGTTTTACAAGATAATATGACTGTTTGTTTGAAATGTTGGATGTCCTGGAAAAAAATGTCTGCAACAATTGTGTGCCTTGATGCAACAACCATAAATTTTGTCTTTCTCGAACATCCCGTCCTTGTACCCCAGCACTCTCCTCCCTCTACCCTCCTATTATAGGGTTGCTACCTAATACCCGGTATGTAACAGAGTAAGTACTGCTTTGTGAATTTTCTAACAACATCTAAAGGATATCCTTTTTTGTTGCAGGCCATCCGAGTTTTCTTTGTTGTGCGAGCTCTGTCCCTGATGCTGATGGACCAACCGGAGATGCAGCTGCCGCTTACCAATGAGGACCGCTGTGTTAAAGTCGGGGACAAGCTGGATCTCAGTGAGTGAGCCAATAGAGAAGGGGCTTGTGTAGGAAGTCCAGGTTCTCTCACAGTAAACTGGAAGCCATACTGAACCACTGTCTGATCATGAGGGACTACACTCTTGACAACTGATGATGTTGAACTTGATAAAAAAAAATTAAAAAATTAATATACATGGGAAGGTAACCATAGTAACGGAATAGACTCATGATAGCACACAGCTTCTATACATGCTGAACAAACACTTATACTTTTTCTTACCAAATTATACTTTCTCTAAATAATACACACAGTGATCTTCAGTATCTTAGTATATCCATCACTTTTGCTTAAAATTAAAATAATTCTTGACATATAAAAAAACTTAAGTTGAAAGATATTTTCAGCAATGCAGTCCTTAAAGGAAACGCCCCCACACACTTATCCATCCTTCTTTGATAGTCCTTATCTAAGTCTACCATGTTAAACAATCTTGGTTTGTTTGTAAACATCTGCACAGCTGGATTGTTGTCCTTGATTCCAGTGATTCAGTGACCTCTGACCCTAGCCTTATGTGTATGTATGGTCCTTATGAAAGCTAGTTTTCCAGGAATTGTAAAACTGAAAGTACAGTGTAATTGATTGGTTAGAAGTATTTGTACTGTCAACAGCAGTTGGTGTCGCCAGTACTCTTAAGCTGGAAGGAGTACAGCTGTCTCAGCATTAAGGAACAGAATTTATGGATGTCAACTTCTGTATTATGAGAACACAAAGTTTCAGAGTATATACTTGCTCACATCAGGTCATAATCCCTGATGTAGGAGTAAGTATAACTCCGAAATGATGTGTCCCTCATAATAAAGAAGTTGACATCTGTAAATTCTCTGCCTTATGTGTATCACTTCTTATTGCCTTTCAAAGACTTGTCCCAGTGTTGTCACTCTCCTACCCAGAGTTCCATGCGGCCGGCAGCCAGCCAGCATAGTACCTCTGCCACAGGCCAGCGCCATGTGACGATTCGTCACATCTTTCACAGTCCATTCAAGATATTGCATATGTTTTTCATCCGTTTCATGTTTGACAAGTCTACCCATTTTCATAAACAAATGTCAAAGAATGGTTACGGTTCATTAAGAAAGTATCCTCATACGTGAACATCTACTTGTTTTTGCGTAGCTATCCTTTGTTTACATTGGTTGTACGGCTCCACGTGCTGTCATTGAAGCCCAACGGAGAGCTAGCGATACGGTTACTTTGATGTATAAATATATATTGTCATGCAACTCACTGTCGCGGTTGTAGAAGCATATCTATATAATTATGCAAAAAACCATGTAAAGCGCCCAAAATATTTGCTTTAGTCCGTCCTATACTGATTTCTGAAAAAGCGCGTTTGTTTACAAACAAGAGAAAAGTCCGGTCACGTGATATGCAAATTAGCCTGTGGCAGTGGTGTTATGCTGAGTCACCACTGCGCCGGAGTGTGCCAGTGTTGTGTGACAAACAAGGAAAGAAGGAAAGAAGTACCATCTGCATGATCAGTACTATCTATGTGATGTAGACCACACTGATAAATGTGTCGTATAGTCCTTCATAGCTATTTCTCGGAAAGCCATAAAGATTAGTTACAGGGAAAACCATATTGTAACTACTAATTATCCTCATGTTGTAAGTTTTAACATTTGCATAACCAGTTTACAGTATGTATAAACAGTTCCTGAATTACTCATTTTGGTCCTGTTTCAGGGTTAGAAATTAGCCAAGGAGGCCTACAAGCCTGAATAGTGATAATATATCGGCAGCAGTCCCCTAGCACTGGTCTGGGCTAGTACAAATGTCTATCTCTGCTGTTTAGTGTTTGTTTGCTATATGAACAAGTTGACAATGGTGGTACAGGGATCATTCTAGGGTTGGGCCTTGTGCTTTTAGCCCCTAAATTTGATTAAAGGCCCACATTTTCAATACATTGGGCATTTTAACATTGTGCTGTATGGGCAAGTGTGGGTGTACCTCTGGAATATTTGAAATTTTCATATAAAGGGCCCATGTCAGAAAATTCCTAGAGTGAACCCTGGTGGCAAAAGGTTTTAAAAGAAACCAGTGTCTTTGTCCCAGACCTGGCTGGTGTGTAGCTGATGTTCTTGGCCCCATTCCACAAAGTGATCTTAGCGCTAAGACTGCCGTAAGTCTGTGTTAAAGTATGGGACTTACGATCGTCTCAGTACTACGATCGCTTTGTGGAACGGGGTCCTGATCTGGTAAACACAGACACAGAAAATGACACTTCCCAACACGCACATTATCATCATGTCCATATATGGTATATTTCAGGGAACTGTTAGCTTCAGAAAGCATAGTCATTCCACTAATGGCACACAAACAGGAAACGGTCTGTAGTAGTTCAACCAGAATAGATCTAAGTGGGACTATTATGTCCCATTGTTTGAACAGAATTGTATTCTGTGACTTATATATCTGTGTTTTAGCAAAAAGGAAGTGTTGCATTGCAATACCTATTGCGATTTATTGGGAGCTAAAGTGTTTGACTGATTGACACTGATTGTGTATGTAGATCCATTTTCTAAGTACTGAAGTAAATATTATGATGTCAAAGTCAGCATGGTCAGTCGCCATTGCCACCACCGCCATAAGTAAAAAATCACGTCTGCATTTCCACCATTATTGTCAATTGGAAACATCTTTTGTGGATGAATTTCTGTGTAGATTTTATGTTAAGCAATACAAATAATGACGAATGTTGTGAAAACAAATATTGCAGTATGTATCGTTTGTAAGTGTATTGCAGTATGTATCGTTTGAAAAGTGTATTGCAGTATACCGGTAATACACTACAGTTCTAGGGACTGTCCCTAGTTTAGGGGTCGGTCGGGTAGCCTAGTGGTTAAAGCATTCACTCATCACGTTAAAGACCCGGGTTCGATTCCCGACATGGGTACAATGTGTGAAGCCTTTTCTGGTGTCCCCCGCTGTGATATTGCTGGAATATTGCTAAAAGTGGCGTAAAACCATGCCCACTCACCCTAGTTCATGCTTGGACATTAGCAATAGCCTGCTGGCTCTGACCAGTTTTATGACTGTAAAGACATCCTGAGGGCTAGTAGAAATTTGGGGAGATTGCTAAATGTTATCACAATTCGGTCTAGCAGACATCCTACTTTTTCTAGGTTAATTTCCATGCTTGCTTGTTTAAGTACTAAAGCTCAAGGATCCAAGGATCTACCTTAATTTCGAACGCTGTTAGTGAAACATTGATGTCCATTGTTACAGAAAAGGTGACCACAATGTTTTGTTTGCAGACAACAGTGACCTGATAGCTTGCACCGTCATGACCCGAGATAGGTACGTAGCCAGTTCATAACTGACAGGTCTCTCATTCAGGAGGAGAATCCCAGCAAACATGTGTGTTTCTTGGAAATTGATAAATGTCTTGTTCATGCCTTGAACATTATGATTATTGTGGGGACACATTTGATTGCATTCCCTGTTTTCCTACATGTGAGCGAGGTGTGACACCCGATCTTGGTGTTGACCTTCCATTACTCTGATGCTGTATGGCTATGTTAGACCTCCAGGGCCCACTTGCACAAAGCGATCTTAGCGCTACAACTATTGTAAGCCTATGTTAAAGTATGGGAGTTAAGATCATCTTAGCGCTAAGATCGCTTCGTGCAAGTGGGCCCTGGTCGCTGAGGTATGAATAAAAAGTGTGAACTGTATGACTCAGATCAGCAGTGCTATACAATCATTCCTACTTGTGTTTTGTCCTTTTGAACTTTAAAGTTCACCTCGGAATGCAGTGCAGAACGCCCAGTGTGACTGAGGACCTTGTTGTTTTTCAAGTTTTACCCAAACCATAAATTCTCATTTTATACTCAGCAGTATGTTAAAGTTTGTGGAAGTTTTGAATAACATTTTGATTGATGATACACTTACAATAGTGTTTTGAGATGTTTAACACTAAATAGAGGAAACTCCCTTTGCACCCTTTTGAATGGGGTTGAATACATCGTCAGTGTTATTGCATGACAACAGTGATATGTTGAATGTTTCAGTCGGAAACAAGAGCGTCGGTTCTTGGTGATTGACCCGCTACAGTTGATCCTGGTGGAACCTGACAACAAGCGTCTGGGCTGGGGCATTGTGAGATTTGTGGCATTCCTACAGGTGGGTCACATGGTGTGCAACTGTTGGCTGCATCATGAGGGCGTGGGGATGTGGTCTAAAAAATGTAAAAATCATGTGCATTTGCTCTTCTTTAAGCATTGTCCAGACACCTATTTCATCAAATTTACACCCTGAAGAGAACTTTTCATCTCATTCTCAGTAAAAACTTGCATACAGTTAATCCCATCAGCTAGTGAATATGGGGTGTTTTGTTATACACTGTTGATTTGGAGGCGCAGTAGTGTAATTCTTGCATTTGCTTGTGTAGAATACAGAAAAATCAGAATTTTTTTCTTTTTCAAGGACTCTACTAACCTGACATCAGAAATGTTCATCATTATAATAATTTATAAGAGTAAATACTAATTATTCCATGCTGTGTTCCAGGACATAGAGGTGACAGGTGACAAGGATGACAGTCGGTCTCTCCATGTGGTGGTCCACAAACCATCGTCATCCATCCACGCCCGTTCTCTTCCTCTCCTGTCAGCCAGGTTCATCTTCGACGACCACATCCGATGCATGGCAGCAAAGCAGCGCCTCATCAAGGGTCGTCTCAAGGCAAGACAGCAGAAGATGCAGACCATTGAGCTCCTCCTCGACATCACTGGTCAAGCAGTCCGGTCCGGCTCCCCGGGCAGCTTCACCAGATCCGGACCTATTCCAGGTAATCATGGTTGTAGGTACACAAACACTTCCTGGATTCAGAGGTTGGTTGGTTTGTTGTTTAACACCGCACTCGGCAATATTACAGCTATATGACGGCGGTCTGTAAATAATCAAGTCTGGATCAGACAATCCAGTGATTGACAGCATGAGCATCGATCTACGCAATTGGGATGGATGACATGAATCAACCAAGTCAGCGAGCCTGACCACTCAATCCCGTTAGTCGCCTTTTACGACAAGCATAGTCGCCTTTTACGGCAAGTATGGGTTGCTGAAGACCTATTCTACCCCGGAATCTTCACGGGTAGGATTCAGAGGTGCACACTTCACTTCATGCACCATGACCTCACCCTGACATAATCAGTTGGCAGGATGTGGAGGCGGACTTGGTTGCTGCGCTCACCATTTACAATCCAGTTCCGCCTTGCTACACCACATGTCTACACTCCCTGTCTATTGTTATTAAGTGTTGTAGGGGCGGTGGGGTAGTCTAGTGGTTAAAGTGTTCGCACATCATGCTGAAGGCCCGGGTTCAGTACAATGTATGAAAGCCATTTCTGGTCTACTCCACTGTGATTAGGTAAATATTGCTAAAAGCAGTGTAAAACCGAACTCGCTCACACACTATTTTGTCTTGTGATGGGTTTACTCGTTGTTGAGACAAGCATTGTTGAGCTGTCGCAAATAACAGGTTTACTTGGAATAAGCTGTTTTGAGATTTAGCCAGTGTATATATAACTGCCTGCCCACTAGCTAAATGTCAGAAACCCTCTTTATTGACATCTGAACAGGTGTTAGGGATTTATTGTAATCACTACTTGCACAAACAGTTCTGAGCAACAGATGGAACACTCAGTATGTTCGTTCTGGTGGGAGGATGCATGTCTGGAGTGGCTTTGTGATGACAACAGGTTGTGTGATTTATGTTAGCGCATGAAGTATGGATGGCTAAACAAACATTCATATTTTTTTGACATTTCAAACAAATGTGTTGCAGGTCGGAGTCACCCAGGTAGAGCAGTCAAGGAGGGTGAACAAACCAAAGCCAAAGTCCTCTCAGGAGGCAGCCAGGGTGCTCGACCAAAACAGCGGACATCAGCAGCTGGTGAGCAGAAGAAGATCCGTGGTGGCAAACAAAGCCCACTGCCAAGTGTACCTGCCAAAAACCGAATGTCCAGTCGAGATGAGGTGGAAGAAGCAGAGGAGGCCACCTCGGCCACAGCCTTCCAGTCTCTCAACCAGGAGAGTGGGCGCAGACCCAGCACTGGTAAGACCACACAGAGATCCTTATCCGGGCCCAAAATCAACCCCCAGGTGCAGGAGATTCCCATGGAGGATCTGTCTGTGAAGAGCAAGCACAGGAGTGGATCCCTCGACAGCCGGGCCAAATCATTGCGCTTGGACCATAACAAACATGACCGACATAGAAGCCACAGCCACAGTCCCCGCAGGGCCAAAGAAGCATCTGTATCAGTGAAAAAGGAAAGTCGGAGACTTTCTGGCCCACAGACATTTAAAGCCAAAGTGAAACAGACAAGTTTAACAATTGTCACTGCTAGTCCTCACAGCAAGAGTAAACCCATTCCTGTATCCGCCTCTCCCTCCCGACCAAGGAGTGGATCATCATCAGATGACAGCCCTGAGGCATATGAACGTTCACGTAGTCACTCAGGACAGTCCCCGAAGTCTCTGAGGCCAGCAGAGGCACCAACTCTCTCCCTTCTTCCTCAGCAAGGAATGGCAGACATGGTGAGCATGGCAGCTGTGGATTCGCCAATACTTGTTCCACCCGCAGACCAACAAACTATCCACAACGTTGTAGAGATGAGCTCAAGCAGTGACAAAGACACTGTGAAGGCAGACTCCAATGATGAGGCTCTGCCTCAAGACACTCGGTCGTGTGACTCCAACTTATCATCAGACTCTAATGGAGACAGCAGCGTCAGTGTGAGTGACTCGGGTATCCAGAGTGAAGCCTCGACTACCATTGCACTGTCGAGGCCTAGGACTGCCTCAACATCAGAGCAGCTGGCTAAACTGGCTCAGATGGTGTCAGAACACTACAGCTACTCTGGAGAACAGACTGTAGAACCAGAAGATGAGTCTGGTTGACTGGACCGTGTGCAGGTCGTACTGTACTGAAGCCTTTCTTTTAGGGATGTACCCACGCTCCTTCCCAGCGCGTGACACCTTCGTTACACTCTCTGTAACATCGCTGCCACCAGTGTGGGCGCGGCCATTACATTGAAAATTTGGCCTCTTACCCCAAATGTAGGAATGTTCATACTTTTGTTTATGTCTTTGGGAATGCCATCATAATGAATCTTGAAAAGGTTTACGACTGACCATGTTTTCCAGAGGAATTTACTTTGTTGTTTGTATAATCAGATTGGTTCGAGATTGCAGACTAACGGAAAATCAACCAACTTCTCCCTTACATTCTTACTATATCAATAACATGGTAGTTTTAATGAAATAGAAATTCAAATTGACAAACAAAGTAATTTAGCAGGGATCAGTGTATTCGGCGTCACGACAGTTGTCACTTGTTTGTAAACATAACAGTCATTCGGTTGCGAGTTCAGCTCCAAGCATGGTTGGGGCCACCTATCACAGTGGGGAGTTTTGACTGGTGGCAGCGATAGTATAGAGAGCTCCGCGAACGGGCTATCGCTGCGAGGAGCTTGGGATGTATTTAAGCCTTCCTTCTACTATGGTTGTACTTGAGCCTTTTTTATCTAAGGGTGTTCTGAAGCCTTTTGTCTTCAAGAATGTACCATTATAAAGTGGGGGTGCACTGTTCTAAAGAGGGGCGTATACTATAGTCTACATATTATACTATAGTCTTTCTACTCCAGTATACCAAAATAGTATATTCAGGAATACAATTTGTCCAGTGACAGCATAAGGACTTACACCCATTTAAATGAAAAGGCTCAGCCTCTTCTCAAATTAACTGAGAAAATCGTTATAAGTGTCAAATTGTACAGTTGTTATTAGTTGTGTATTTCAGGGACAACTGTGCACCACGATACAGCACATACCCCTGTTATGAGTTACGTATTTCGGGACAACTGTGCACCATGATACAGCACATACCCCTGTTATGAGTTACGTATTTCGGGACAACTGTGCACCCGATACAGCACATGCCCCTGTTATGAGTTACGTATTTCGGGACAACTGTGCACCCGATACAGCAAATGCCCTGTGTCCTTCACTGGGGAAGACAAGGAACAAACACTGCACGAGATAACCTGTTGGCTATATGATCCCTGTGTACATATTGATTCATATTGCGTAAGTAAGTCAAATGATTGGACACTTTTCCTGATGACTTGTCAACTCCCAGATGTTGGATAAGGATGCAGATTGTATTTCCAAAAAAATGCATCTCATGAATGCATGTCATGATTATAAGCAGTCAACGCCCATGAACACTGAAGAACCTTTGAATTGGGTGAATAATGATGTATCTTGCCTGTCAGTGAAGCTGTGAACTTGGTTCCTTATGGCTGATGCTTGGGTGTACCTGAGTTTTTTTGTCTAGACTTCATGTTTATAATTTGACAGGAGTTTCATCCCAGATCAATGTTATTGTATATATCATGCTATTATCTTATGTCACTGAGTTTGTCTGTTTTCCAAATATTCTGTTTGTATTGTTGTTTGTTAAAGATTTCTTGCAGAATTTACAAAATGCAGTTTGATTTGACATGTACCATTTGACATGTATGTTTTTTTCTGAGAAAAACAAGAATAAATAGGCCTTTAGAAGAGGAAAAAGAATAAGTTTGGATAAGATGAATAGATTAGTATTTATTGTAATTAGAGATTCTCGAGATATTTGAGAAAGAACATTGAACCAAAGCATTCACACCCAAAATAACTTTCAATGAGAAATAGTCTAGGCTACACATATGATGATCTAATCCTGAAGTAATGCATAGAAGGGATGTGGAGAAGCTTTATCAAGCTTGAAATGTAGAATATTGGATGCATCCAAGTGTGTCTGCGCCATGGTCCCCTAACACTGAATGTTAGGACACCATGTGGTGCAGCATACACGTTACACAATAGGCAGTTTAACTAACAACGTGAGTTTCATCTCTTTTAGTAGGCGGATTCAGAGGGGCTGTCCAGGGGCTCCGGACCACCATTTTGAAAAGCAAATGTATGTTGTAGGCAATAAAGTTGTCTGAGAGGGAATTTTTATATTTTGGACCCCCTCCCTGGATCAGCCTTTGTTTTTGGTCTCAGTTGCCTGTAGTCTTTAATGGCCAATTATATTTTTCGGACTGGTGGCATTTATGTACAGTGTGGCTTCTACAGAAGTCAGTCTAATGTTTTGTGTCACATGTGCAGTGAGTTAAGATCATGGCGACTGATTTGAAGAAAGTTTACTGATTGGATATCATGGTGCATATACAGTCGATTCATTGTAACAATCAAAATACATGTATACGGATGGTCACCTGATGTTAATTATGGATGTATCATGTGGTAGGAGCTCTTGTTGATTACTGTAAGGATACAAATTAGGATAATGGTGATGACTAGGTTGCAATAGGATGTGAAATAGGGTCTTCATAGTAATCGTTCAGTTTAGAGAATGAACTTTCTAAAAAAGTATATAATTAAGAACTGGTGTGAACTCTGGTTTTTATATTTATAACTCCAGGAATACAAAAACATTGAGTTCAATTCTTATTAATTATTGTCAACAATAATAGCTTCACAATCGTTATCAAACTGTAGACAACAGTCCGAAATCAGTTACATTGTTCAGTACATTAATGCAATACAAGCCCCACCCACTCTATTATCAGCCAATCAGGAAACAGTAGTCCGTTGGTAGTGGCCTAATTTTCTTTTTCGGATTATGAAAACATAAATGCAAATAATATGCCTTGATTAGCCAGTCAGATGCCCTGGAATCACATGCAATCTATTTATTTTCATTTGAATTTGAAATGGTTGAATGGAATGTATTATACAAAGCCAACCATGCATAATAAAAACTTCTATGAATATTGATCTAATCTTTTACAAATGGAATATCTATGTGTCACGGGATGCTGGAAATTAGGTCCCATACAAAATGTATTTCCCATAAAGGTTTATGATTTATATTTTGTTTAGGAAATAAGTTATTGAAAGCAAGATGTAGAATAGGTCTTCAGCAACCCATGCTTGCCGTAAGAGGCAACTTACGGGATCGGGTGGTCAGACTCGCTGACTTGGTTGATGTATGTCATCGTATCCTAACTGCGTGGATCGATGCTCATAATGTCAATCACTGGATTTTCTGGTCCAGACTCGATTATTTACAGACCACTGTCATATAGCTGGAATATTGTTTAGTGCAGTGTTAAACAACAAACAAAATATATGCCTTCTGACGGCTTCTTTGTGTCACAATCTCCAATAACAGATTGTAATGTCTGGCTGTTCTCACTCAACTACACAGAGGGTCATACTGAAGTAGGGTCACAGTTGTAGCAATGCAATCCATAATCGAAGCTTTCGCTCATCACACTGAACACCCAGTTCGATTCCCGACATGGGCACAATGTGTGAAGCCCATTTCTGATGTCCCCCGCCATGATGTAACTGGAATGTTACTAAAAGCGGCGTTAAACCATACCCACTCACTCACTTTAATTTGAACAACAATCAAAGATTCTATACATCTCATTCTTAAACTGAGAAGTGAAATAAAACTGTTAATTAATAATGATATCATGTTCTCCACACTGGCTTCAGTTGTTGTATGACTGGTGTTGTTGGTGTGTTAATATGTATGTAGCATCCTTGTACATGCTTCGTCTTGTAGCCTGCTATTCCAGAGATGCTTGATGTATTCTTAACATTAGCTAAAGTTTAGAATTGATGACTGAATTGTGCTTTTACCATTGAAATATATTTCCTCTGATTGCCATATGCAATCAGATATTTATGCAATGTTTCTCTGTACTTTTAGAATTTGTGTACATGTCACAAAGTGTGCAGATCTCGCAGTCAGTTTTTTGTGTAATACAGACCAAAGCATACGTGAAACAAGTCAGATTGTCTTTTGAAGTTTGTATTTTAGATTGTAGTATATATTTTATAGACTGCTGTATAAAGGGTGTATCAGAACAAAGAAAGTTTTAAATTGAATTATTAGAACCTGTGATATTTTTAGATGTTAATGCTCTGTTTTTGTTGCAACAACAACATGTGTCTTAGACAGATTTTGCTAGCAAAGAATATTATGCATGTGTGTATGTAGTCTGTACATATTGTATATAGTACCTTAACTTATACACCTACGTTTCTCATACATTTGTATATATGGCTGGACAAAACGATTTGTTGGTTCTCAGACAGTGGCTTTTGACAAATGAGCATGGAAGATTGTGAAAAGCTATTTTTTGTAGTGGAAAGGCAGTGGATAAAACAGAACAGGGTGAGTGTTTTGGGAGAAGAGTGGCTGAGAATCAAGAATGGTTATCAGCCTACTGTCTGCTAGGGGTGAAATGATACAGCAAGGTGACGATACGATGCATATCACAATAAATAAGTCACGATACAATACGATACGTATCGTGACGTCAAGTCACATGGAAACTAGAAATATTTCAGGGCAGGTTCAAAAGGTAAAACTAGCTGTAGGTCTACACACGTTCGTAGTGTCCATTTTTAGTTGTGAACTTGAAACACTAATTACAACTCATTTGGTGATATTTGTCTGACAAAATGCTAGTTGTCATTATGCGAGTTGTACGTAAATTCTTTTAGCAAATGTATCATCTTGTATCGATACAGAAAAAACACGTATTGTGTATCGTATCGTCACACAAAAACTCACGATGCTCTGGTGCACCGATGTATTGTTTTACCCCGACAGTCTGCCATGGTCTGGTCTTTACATGTGTGGTGATATATACTGCCACTTTCTTCATATATACAACTCAAAAGAAGTTAAGGATCACCTGATGTTTTCATTTGACTATGGTTACTCTGTCATGGCCACAGGAGCATATAATTTATATAGCATCTTATTGTCAAGATACTCTTCAAAGTGTATTCATATATTTCTATGCTGACATACTTTTCACATTTGACATTAAATTCGTATAGAATGTGAAATATATGATGTAAAGGATAGTGGTGTGGATAAGTTGACAGATGGGTGGTACAGAACAAATAGGGTGACTTTTACGTGAGTTTCCAGTGTTACTGACTTCAGTTTCATTTGTAATGTTATCCATGTTGAAATGGCCGTACTCACAATAGTCACACCACCAAGGGGGCGGTTGGGTAGCCTAGTGGTTAAAGCGTTTGCTCGTCACGCCGAAGACCCGGGTTTGATTCCCGACATGGGTACAATGTGTGAAGCCCATTTCTGGTGTCCCC